GTATTTCTATTTTTTCATTTGCTATACAGCCAGATAATACGACAAATCGCTAACCTTAAACACCGAGTCGTTCATAAAAGTTGAAGGCGGTATAGTACTATAGTAATAGAGCTAGTGCAGAATCACTGAACCGGAAATTATAGCTTTAAAGCATTTAGCGCGGGGCCCTTGAAAGTGCGGGGCCCGTAGCATATGCAGCTACTTTTGCTACGAGGATAATCCGGCACTGGTGAAACCCCTTCGCTCGTGCACACTTTGGCTGCACCTCGACTCGCGTCGACTACAAATGTATGGATGAAGGTCTTGGCGCCGCCACTCCGTTGTCTGTCAAGCCACGTGGGTGTCTGTGTCACCGTGTTTCACCGGCCCGTGGGGGCTCGAAACGAGTACAGATGTAAAGAGATATGTTTGTTTGTGTGAATTCACTCGCCACTGATGGTGGCCGTGGACGGGAATCGAAATCACGTGGGGTTTTTTTTCATTGTTGTTGCTATGTTCGTGAACCACCGCTCCACCACATATTGTATAAAGGAATGCAACGTTCCATCGCAGAGATATTATACACATTATACACATCATTATACAGAGATAGTATTCACATTATACAGTCCACGCTCCTTGATTTGAGTCGAGTGGAGTGAGCTGGGATTTTATTGGTGGCGTTTCGCTCATGCCGGTGCTTCATTTAAGTCGGTACAGGGTCGGATAGCTGCTTGGGGAATTATTGTTGGCACCTAGCCACATCAGTCTCGTCATATGTTGGTCCTTCCGACGATTATAGAATATCGAGGGTACTATTTTATGGGATTATTTTGGATATGCGTGGCTTGCGCTCTCGTGGTACACCGGTAAATGCCCACGAGTAGCGTTCCTAAGAAATAAAGCCCGGGTCATTCAGGGACCGTCGTGTTCGTTGCAGCTCCAAAAAATAAGACTTGTACAGCAAGTAAGACACGGACGATGAAATTTTTTTCTTACAAAATCTTTAAAGGATATTAAAGATACATAAACATTCAAACAGCCTCTAACCGCCTTTTGTAAAATCATCTTAATGTACAGCCAGGGTTCATAAGCCACACGGAACACAGGAAATGAAACAGCAAGACATACAACAAAGACCCCCTCGTGTATCCTTAGACTTTTTGGGACAAGCGCTGTTAGCGAGCACCTATGAAGGCCGACACGGCATACGAGGGGGTGGGTGGCTAACACCACGCGAGGCCGCCTTTGTCTCCCCAGTGGCGATGTTTACACACGGCACCAGGTAATCATTTGAGGCTGCGTCGACCTAGAGGAGCGCCAAGACCGACGATTCACGTATTCGCCACTGTAATTGAACGTGAGCGGGAATCGAACTCGGATAGCCGGGCTCATAGTGCAGCGCGCTAACCACCGCACTACCGCTCACAGACACTCACAGACACACGTCCACACTCACACATAGACGAGTGTAGATGTAGGCTAAGAAGCGAGAATCCATCTAGACGGCGTGACGCCCGCGTGACACACTCACACAAGGGAAGCTGGGAGCGTTGCATAGCAATACGCAGCATTTTCGACGCACACCTTCGATGCAGCTGATCACGTGCTCCCACGCACACACAAATATCCCCCGTGTAGCCTTTGCAGACGTTTTGGGGCAAGTGCTGTTAGCGAGCACTTATGAAAGCCGGCACGGCACACGAGGGGGTGGGTGGCCAACACCACGCCCGGCCGCTTTTTGTCTCCCTAGTGGCGATGTTTGCTACACACTGCACCAGGTACTCACTTGAGGCTGAGTCGACCCAGGGGAGGCCCAGGACCGGTTAAAACATTCGCCACTGTTACTGATCGCGAGCGGGAATCGTACTCGGGTGGCGCGGGTTTGCGGCGCAGCGCGCTAAACCACTGCGCCTCCACTCCCCACGCACAGACGCGCAAGCCAGTCAAGTCGGTTGAGTCATTCGGTAAACTTCCGACCGCACAGTAGCAGGAAACTCCCGTGTGTAACTCGGTCTGCGCCGAGAGCACAATTTACCCGTACCTCGAATGGTCGCACCGCGTGTGCGTAAAGCACCGTCGGCTATAAAAGCGATGGGGAACTGAAGGAGAGGCTTCTGGCTTTAGTGCAAACTAAAGGCATCGGTGATACTGTACAACGCTACGACTGTACATCTTTGGACACAACTCATTAATACCCTGTCGGCTACGCATTACGTATTTCAATATACATTTAGATAGATTATACCCTGTGTATATACGCGCGTCTGGGGAAAATGAGAGGCATTTGCTTTTGACTAAAACATCCGAGTTATATGCACACAGGCGCGCACCGTCGTACACGCGTCTAATAACACTATACAATAACAACAACAATAAAGTTACTAACAACATTCGTTAAACAGAACAATCGACGCATATTTTTTTTGTTACCCTGTCTGGTTCCCTGAATGAAGATTTAAAGTTACTCAAAACAACAACAAAAAGTCGCAATCATAGAACAACAACAAAGGACGCTCCTTGCGTCGTGTGTCCGCGGCACGATGCGGATGACACTCTCTCCCGGGTAGCTGCCGCCGCGAGAGTCCTCCTCTCGGGACTCGGCGAAGCGCGGACACGTGTAAACACTCGCGCGGCGTCAACTAGAATGTGGGGCTCTCACGCGCACGGGCAGTCGAGGTAATACGCGTTGTGGAATAACCTTAGACGATAACAACAACAACAACAACAATGATAATTAACGTCGTGACAGAGCAGCGTTGCAAGGGACGTAACAGTCGCACCCTTAGCCCGCATTCAAACGCGTTCGTGTCGATCAGTCCAAGGCGCCCTGTAAGCTTTCGTGTTGTCCGAAACGGGCCGACACAAAGACAAAGATTCTCCTCCCCCCCCCCCCCCCCCCCCGTATAGCCTCAACAGGCTGTAGGAGCAGGGCCGACACACGCACACACGCACGCACATCGCATCGCCTTTGAGATTCTTTCGCAGCTGTTGGTGATGGACGAAGTATCGATGCTTTCGTCAAAATCAGACGATTATGAACATTTACCCGCACGCGATTATTCGGGGGGGGGGGGGGGGCAGGGGGGTTGGGGAGGACGGGGTCATACGGTAGTGACAAGGTTTTCCCCGTTGATGCAAGTTGATTGATAACGTCTGTGCATTGTGTGCCACGACAGAGTCAAGCGACGCAAGAGAAATACAAAACCGGTGAATTTAGGGATCGCCTCGCCATCAAACGCACACACCTCCACTCGGGCTGTAGGAGGGGTGGGGGGGGGGGGCAGAGGTGAGCCTCACTGAAGCTGTATCCCGTAGTTTCAGCCGAGTTAGATTCCATTCACCGGTTAATTCGGGGAGTTGTTCACTCGTTCACGACACCACCCATCCCGCGTCCCGCAAACTTAGTTATTGCCTCTATTATGTTTTAAGATATATCATCCCGTTTAGAATACTGTATCGCTACCGCACGACGGCGCGAGTGGCTCACTTTTGAATAACACTTTAAGGTATTGTCAGCTAAACTCAACAAATAATGGTGTTCGTATTGAGTGGGAATAATTTATCAGGAAAATCAATCATTGCAGCAGCAGCGGCAGCAACAGCTCTCCCTCTATTCGTAGCATAACGGACCGTTTACCGCGCGTTGTTCGGAATGCTGGGCCGACGTTTCGCCCCACGTGCCCGAAGCATTTTCATGAACTTTGTTTCACGCGGCACGGCCCGATTTACAAACTGATCGCGGAGCTGTACACAGCGCAACCGCGAAAAGCCTACGCGGTGGTGGCGAGGTAGACGCCACCCAAACCACACATAAGCTCGTGTCTTGTAGTTCCGTTACTAAGCCGCGTTTCTGACAATGTACTATGCATGTTGAACTTCTTTCGCACCGTACGTAGCCAACTGTGCTAATCGGAGGTTGCGGGGGAAGGGCAACAAGTTTTAAGCAATGTTTTAAAGCTCCGCCAAGTGATAATAAGAATAACGTAATAATTTAAAGCCACGCTTCAGCTACAGACTTATATCAACTGTGGTGACGTAACGTTATGCACGCACACGGACCGTGCATTTGAATTCCACGCCATTGCAGTTGGCCTCGCGAAAGTTCGTGACGGCAGTAAACTCAACGAAGTTTCACGACCTCGCGTCGGGCAGCCCGAGACGCAGAGAAGAGCAGGGGACAGTCTGCACAGCTACACGAGGAGAGCACCGAGTGCTGCTGTATCTTCCTGTCAATCATCCTGGCAAATCGATGTTGCGATGCAAGCTCAGCTACCCCCCCCCCTCCACCCCCGCTTCTCCTCCCCTCGCCCTCCCCTTGGGTTCCCCACGTAATTTTTGACATCAGCTCGACAAATTCGTCGATAACACTGCACTGAAAATATGCGTATATGCCCGGTGACGTTTCGGGCGATAGCCCTTCTTCATGCAGCACACCGTCTTGACACTTGATGAGATCCGACTTTACGTGTTGATTAATTGTTGTGCGATCGTGTACCTCGGGAGTTCATCATCTATCCATTCCTCCAAAAAGTTCCAGGCTCTCTTATGATTATTATATTCATCGAATCGTATCGCATATCTAACGGGTGCGAGGTGGCCCACAGAAGGCCGCAACTGAAACTCAACACGAATCGACATGAGCTCAGCGCATGAGTCAACATAACACTGGATATCTCGAATAGGAGATATGTAATAGGCGACGTTACGGGATCAGCGTAGAGATAAAGACCCCCCGTATAGCCTTAACCCAAAAAAAACCTCTATTATGGATGATATTTGTCGCGAAAGCCGACGTGTTAAACTTAACGGACTGTTGGGGAATGTGCTGTTAGCGAGCACCTTTGTAAGCCAGCACGGCACACGAGGGGGTGGGTGCCAGCATCAACCCAGCGGCGATGTTTACACACCTCACCAGGCACTCGTTTGAGGCTGAGTCGACCTAGAGGAGGCCCAGGACCGGTTCAGAAAATCGTCACCGGTGTTGTCCATGAGCTGGAATCGAACTCGGGCGCCGGGGTTCGTAGCACAGCGCGCTAACCGCTACACCACCGCTCCCCATAGCAAAGAAGATCCCATACTCAACAACCGCCATTCGCCACCAAGTGACGGTGACGTCACCACAGCGTCTGTGCCAGGTTATGTGCACACATCTATAAAGATCCCACGCACACATGCAGACACAAAATCATGAATATGGCAGTGGCCAAACGTTTCCAATGGAGGCCCCTCCTGAAACATAGTCTTGAGACTCGGTGAGGCTTTTGTGGGTAAAAGAAATGACGCAGCAATGCATATTATTATTATTCATATGACAAGTGGTCGTTTACTAACACCAGTGTGATTATCTAGAACGCGTACTCACTGAGATGTCTCCAAGGATGAGTCCTTGACGTCACCCACCACGGCGCTTGTGCCAGGCTATGTGCACTCGTCTATGTACAAATCGTGCACACGACTGCACTGCTCACAAGCCACTCGGTCTCCTTGCGTTTAGTTTATTGTCCTTTCCCCCCACACTTTCGATTAGCACGGTTGGCTACGTACGGTGCAGAAGAAGTCCAACGTACATCTACACCTCTCTCCATCGTGAACTGCTTAGCACGAGCAGGCCCGACTTAAACGCTACAGTCAATGCAACCATTGATACACTTCTGTGAGACTATACTTTAAGCAATATCTTTATTCCCAAAAAAACACGTTTTGACCTCTTCTCGCATGTAAGATTCAAATTGCTGATTCCAGCGAACTCATATGATGACTAACAGGTAAATTCAACGAGATAACCTGGATTTAAAAAGAGACACACACACACAAAATGCTTGTTTTCAGTCAATTATAAATTGATGGATATTCGGGCTCGTTTCCTGAAACATCGGAGCGCGGTCTCTACAGCCGCGACCACAAGCAGCCGATTAATTGTCCCAACAATCCTATTGGTAAAGTGTTTAAATATAAATATCTCGACGGCAATGCCCACGTACTTTAGTCGCTCTCGTTAAAAGTCAACGATCACCACACCCTGTTATCATTTGCACACTACCCTGTAATTCGCCCTTTGACTGCACGCGTGCACATTGCGCGTGCGTGCTGTCCATCGTAGCGCCGCGGTCACTGTAAACGCGCGCGTCATCCGTCGCGCGTGCACCCACGAAGCGGTCGACATCGTCGCCAACCTCCCCGCTCCTCACGCCGAGTTCTAGGGAGGTCGCTCTTGGCCCGTGAACGTCTCGGCGGCGCTCTCACAGACCAGGTGGAGAGTACAGGTTGTCCGTACAGAAGGAGGGGGGGAGGAGGGTGGTTCATGTAGACTGTAGAAGCATCGTGGGTAGAGGGTAGGGGGCGGTGCATGGGGAGGATGGAGTTGAGGGAGCATGCACCCTAGCGCGTCCACCCGTCAGGGCGAGGCGTCCTCAGCCGGTGGCTCTGAGGCCGGCGAGCGACTCGGCGAGGACCCCTCGGAGGAGGCCGCGGACGAGACTGAAGGTCCAGCAGCAGCAGTAGCAGCAGCAGCAGCAGCAGCTGCAGAGGATGCGATAGGAGACGCGAGCGTCTGCAGGCTGTGGCCCTCCTTCTCTCGCTTCTTCTGCTTCATGCGCCGGTTCTGGAACCAGATCTTCACCTGGGTCTCGTTGAGCTGCAGCGCGGCGGCGATCTCGACGCGGCGCGCGCGCGTCAGGTACTTGTTGAAGTGGAACTCCTTCTCCAGCTCCGTCAGCTGCTTGGTGCTGAAGTTGGTCCGCTGGGTCGCGATGCCTCCGCCCATCGCGAGGCCGTTGTTGCCCCCGCCGATGCTCAGTCCGACTCCGCCGCCTCCCGCTCCTCCCGAGCCGCACGGGAGGGCGCCCACCTGCGCGCAGCTCATGTCGCCGATCCTCGCTGCGCGTGAAGACGACGGCCGCGCAGCATTTGCGGACGACAAAAGACACAACGCGCGTACACGTGGCGGTGAAGTGTAAGGCAGGCACGCGTGAGATCAGTATCAGTGTACACGGTCAACATCGGGACGAGCCAACACGCGCTCAATAACACAGCCAATACTCGAGGCCCGTACACAGTCGTTGCGACACAAATCATGCAATCGCTCATCACGCGAGTCGTACCTTCGAGTCACTCGACGCGCGATGTCACACAACTCATGCCGGTGTTAAAAACACAACTCACGCACAGGCGACACAACTCGCTCAGCCACTCACTCCGCACCTCGCAAACGGAACTCAGCACTCAACGCCATGAGCCCCCCCCCCCACCCCCCCCCCCCCCCCCCATTATTCCACGCAGAAGAACCTCATTCGTCATTGCTCAAGACGTAACTGCAATGGGATGTCCACCCAATTACTTGTCCGATATATTAGTCATCATCACGAGTTGTGGGCAATCCACCGTTGGACGAAGAGCCCTCTCCCCCAAACTGCCGACTCCATTAAGTACGCTTCGCGCGAGCCACACTCAAGTCGCGTGTCGCCTGCCACATTCGGTTAATCATTGACGGGGGGGGGTGATGATGAGCGGGGGGGGGGGGGGGCAGTGGAGAGCGGACACGGCAAGTAATTACGGGGTCGTCGCTGCTTCGTACGAAGTCTCTGTGGCGATCAGAGGGCGCGGAGGATGACCCGTGTGCTCCCGTCTGGGCAAATTATCGTCTCCCCCCCCCTCTTCGCTGTTGGTTGGTTGGGGGGGGGGATGGAGTTCGGGTGAAATGTCGCCGGACGTACGTGGGCGCGGTGGTCGCGGTGGTTGATTAACCGGCGCGGTCGCCACGCGCGCATCATCTGTCTGAATTGTTCATTGAGGAACCCCGTGTTGTGAAACTGAGCAATAGAGATAGGCCCTGGTGATGGTGGTGACGGTCTTCACGTGTTTTACTCGGGCCCTAACGATGCTGGGGGTGGCGACGGTGGCGATGTTTTTTTGTTACTTATTTTAGAGGAGGCCCTGTGATGGTGTTGATCATTGTGTCTCGTGTTTTAGATTAGGCCCTAACGATTATTATGGTAGTGATGATTGTGTTCACTTGTTTTAGATTAGGCCCTAACGATTATTATGGTAGTGATGATTGTGTTCACTTGTTTTAGATTAGGCCCTAACGATTATTATGGTAGTGATGATTGTGTTCCCTTGTTTTAGATTAGGCCCTAACGATGACGGTGGCGGTGATGATGGCCGTAATGGTGATTGTGAAACAATATAACCTTCAGATATATAAAAAAAACACTTTGCCAACCGCAGTCGTTAGAAAAATGACTGATTAATCGTTGCGTGTGTTAACTCGTCAAAGCATCGGCAAATGACCGTTGCCCAGTGAAAATATGGCTGGATTATATATATACGCGCGAATGCATTAGCACACGCGTTCTACACACGCGCGCGTACTACACACGCGCGCGTACTACACACACACACGTGTACTACACACACACACGTACTACACACGCGCGCGTACTACACACACACGCGTACTACACACACACGCGTTCTACACACGCGCGCGTACTACACACACACACGTGTACTACACACACACGTGTACTACACACACACGCGTACTACACACACACGCGTTCTACACACGCGCGCGTACTACACACGCGCGCGTACTACACACGCACGCGCGTACTACACACACACACGCGTACTACACACACACACGCGTACTACACACACACACGTGTACTACACACACACACGTGTACTACACACACACGCGTACTACACACACACGCGCGTCGTATTAACATTCTGAAATGGCTGACTCATTATGCATAATGGAAGCGCTTGCCAGTTAGCTTGTGTCTAGAGAGCACCGGTGCACACCGCACACACGCTCATGTCGTGCATGCTTACAGCGAGCTCTCAATTTGGCTTTCATGCGTGTATGTTTTTCTTTTACGAATAAAATGTTTAACGGTTGAAAAAGTAATTGTACCGTATGGCTCTTCGTGCTTAAAGTTGCGCAGTGCACGGCACTTGCTCGCATAGCAGTAAATAACGCGGGGCTTTATGCTGCACACCAATTTCACACAACATTATTTACTAATTAAAACGTCTTCTAAACGTACTGAGTATATTGTATAAATGTATACATACTTTCGTATGGAAGTGGTTATGTATAAGTTCAGCGCGCATATTATTAGAAAGCCACTGGAAGCAATGCACTTTTAAATCGAAAACTGGTTTCTTTAGAACTGCTTTTTTGCGTTTAATTTGTTGTCCATTCCCTCGCACCTCCGATTAGCACCGTTGAAAAAAGTTACAAACAAACAAAATCAATGTCATCCGTCCCCGTGTGTTACACTATCAATGTAAATGCGTTCCTAAAACGAAAACGCGCAAAGTGGCAGTCACGTGCCACGATTACGCGTCTGACGTGTGCCCTGTAAATTGCTGCTCAAAATAAATCCGCTTTCGCGGATCTATTTAAAGTGGGGGCCGCAACGCATCCATTAGGGGGTAAATTGTAACCCGCTCTCAATAACTAATGTTATATAGAATTTCTGACAAGCGCGTGATTTATGACCGCACAGGCGACACATGGCTCTCAAAAAGGCGGCCATTGATGAAATATTTACGGAGCCCACGGGCAACTTTCACGCTTAAATTCGTTAAATACAAATAATAAATGTTATTATTACGTAATAATAAATACGTATTATTTGTATTATATAGAGAGGTTCTCACTCAGCACGCATAATCACTTGCGCCGTGTCTCAGCCGTTGTAATATAATAGACACACGCTTGTATGAAGCTAATATGTAAATATATGTCACACGACTTGTCGATTACAACATCACACGCCCGAGGACGGTTAGTATAATTTGTGGACTCCTTTTGTGTCCTGTCTTTTGCTGCTGTTGTTGTTGTTGTTCGCGTTTAATATTAAACACGAGACTCATGCTTTCATGGGAATGCATGCAAACAAAATAAATAATTACTAAGACATCGACTTTTTGTCAGCGGTTTGATCCATCGACGCTGGGCGGGAGGGGTGGGTCGGGGAGGTATAATCATAAATCAATGCGAGAAAGCGCAACGGCGCAACAACTTCCATGCGAGCCACTCCCTCCTGCGCGAACTCTTCACGAAGACAAAGATCCCCGCGTAGCCTTAACAGACTGCAAGGGGTAAAGGGCGAGCGAGTCGCACTAGTGGGTTGCCGGCACGGCACCTGCAAGGGGGTGAGTGGGTGGGTGGGTGGCCAGCACCACGCCCGGCCGCCTTTGTCTGCCCCGGTGACGATGTTTACACACCGCACCAAGTACTCATTTGAGGCTGAGCCGACCTAGCGGAGGCCCAGGACCGGTTTCAGATAATCGTCGCCCGGTGTTGGCCGTGAACGGGGAATCGAACGCGGGTGGCCGGGTTCGTAACGCAGCGCGCTAACCATTGCACCACCGCTCCCCACGAACTCTTCCCACACACCACCACCACTGCAGTTCCTCGGAGGCGACAATTGGGAGCCTGTTGCGTGCTCGACGCCTTCTTAAAAACAATGGACCATTGCCCGAAACGCCAGTTTGCTGTTGTATTATTATCTCTAGATATATATGAATATAGTTTGTTAGTGGCGCTGCAGGAGAGGTGTATTCGTGGAGGAGTCAGGCAGACGTCGGTGCACCGAGGAGCGGTGGGACGATGTAGCCTGACAATTTAAACAACAAGTGCCAAGAACACGGCCATTATTAAACGTGTCACCATGTTCCCAGGAACAGCTTTCAAATCCACGACTCAAAAACAAAATCACGGACATTGCCTGAAAGTTTGTGTTTCACGCGGCAGCCGCCATTCAGAAGGAAAACAACGATTTGGGTGGAGGCTTTCATTCAGAAATCTGATCGCGACGATTGATAATAATACTGATGATTATAATGATGATTATAATGATGTTGATGATAATAAAGCTGTGGTGGTGGTGATGATGGTGATGAAACAGGCAGCCTGAACATTCCCGCAGCAGTCGATGAGCTTGCGTGAGCACTGCATGTGGAGAAGTTTGTATTTTTTGAGCATCTCAACTTTTGCCCGACACCTCTTTCAGAGAGTTGCAGAAACACATTTACAAATCGCGCGAGACATCCACGCTCGAACCGACCGCCCTTCCCTTCAACCCTCCGTGATGAACGGCGGCGGTTGATTGACGTACAGAGCCAATTTGTGCATCAATATCATCGTTACTATTGTTCAGAGTTCGGCATTATTTAAATCAAGCGGCAATAAAAAGTTGTGGTGTGCGCTGGCCGCGCGGTGTAGAAACATAATCGTAAATAATCATCCCCCGGGGGAGGAGTGATTATTGTTTGATGTGTGCACGTGGGCGCGGTCGTAAACATCTAAACAGACAGAAAATAATATTACAAGCGATTATATTATATATATGTGTGTGCATGTGCAGCATAATTTAACGCCGCACGTGTAAAGTACAATCCAGGGCATATCATATTACGTACAAGTGTGCATACTGTATATCGTTTATGGAAAACAACTTTGTATTGTTACGTAGGGTGAATGAATGAGTGTGCACTGCTGTAGGTCATTGTCGTTAGCACAACTTTTTTCGGTTCTAAAAACAGAGATTCTCTCCTGGCCCCGCATAGCCTTAGCAGACCGCTGGGGCAAGTGCTGTTAGCGAGCACCTATGCAGGTCGGCACGGCACTCGAGGTGGGTGAGTGGCCAGCACCACGCCCGACCGTCTTTGTCTCCCCCGGTGATGATGGGTTGTTTTTTTTACACACCGCAGAAGGTACTCATTTGAGACTGGGTTGACTATGAGGGAAGGCCAGAACCGGTTCAAAAACCGTCACTGGTGTTGGCCGTGAGCGGGAATCGAACTAGGGTCGCCGGGTTCGTAGCACAGCTACACCCCCCCCCCCTCCACAAAGACACACATATTCGACACACACATATATACACAATATACACATACACGTACATAACCACACTTAAAAAACACGCACATTAGAGTCGCATCATCATCGATCAGTGGAGCATAAATAACGGCACAAAGCAGTTGCGAGCGATACATCACCCCAGCGAACGAACGAGGATTGATGAATGAATGAGAACATTTGACCTGAAACTCATTCAATCGCGTACGCTCTACGCCACGTGCAGCGGAATGGATGCGTGTCGGATCCCATGAACTCACGTAAACATCTCCACATTTCACCTGTTTTCGGCGGATTTCTCTTCACTCGCATCCACTCGAACGTGCAGTGCGAAGGCGGCGTGGGCTCCGACGCATTCGGAGACCCGTGTTGCTGCTGCTGCTGATGATGCTGCTGCTGCTGATGATGATGCTGAGTGTGCGACACAGGGCCCGCTTGCTGCAGGCAGCAGCTGGCGAGCGGCTGAAGATCGCCGAGGTCTGAAGCCTGCAGCGAGTCGTGGTGGAACACCGAGGCGCCGTAACCACCGACGAGCGAGCCGTGCGTCGCCTGCAACCCGCTCACGGCTCCACCAACGCCACTGCCACCGCCGCCGCCACCGAAGTCGGCCCCCTGCGAACAGTAGACCCCGTAACTCGCCGCCCCCGCATAGGCTTGGCCGGGCGAATAGCACCCCGAGTTCGTCGCGGGGGCGTACGAGCCAGTGAAGGTGAAGTTGTGCGGCTGGTAGCCACTCTGCTGCTGCTGCTGATGCTGCTGCTGCTGCTCATTCTGCTGTTGCTGTTGATGATGGTGGTGATGATGATGAGGGTGGTGATGGTGGTGGTGGTGATGGTTGTGGTAGCGCCCTTCCCCATCGCCGACGCCGCTCGCGCCCGCCGCAGCGCTCACGGCGCACGACTGGAAGGGAGCGAGACATGGGTCTCCCGCGGCTGCCGCAGCGAACGAGCGAGGGGTGAAGCCGCCCGCCTCGCCGCCGCCGCCGCCACCGCCGCCGCCGCCGCAGAATGACGAATACTCCAGGAAACTCATGGCCGCATTGTCCATCTGTCTGCGCGAAGTGCCCCTCCCTGAGCCCCACGGCTCGCGCTCGCTGGCCCTCCCGGAGCCGCCGAGTGAACGCGAGCGAAGCTCGACACGGACAGCCACAAAAACGCCGCTCCACGTGTCTGCACGCATCCAATGGGGTGCAACCCCCTTGCGGGCGCTGACGTTTGATGGATGGGTCGGCTTCGCCTTGCCAAGGCGGAGTAAATCCTAGATTTTCCGATCGCCTCGGCCGGCTCCATTGCGAGAGTGCGCGCGGGGGTTTTGTTGTTATTGTTGTTGTTTGTTTGTTGTTGTTGTTGGCGCGTTTGTTTGTGTGCGCGTGTGTGTGGCTACAACGGCACAGGGCCGTGAACTGCAGCGTGCGCGCGCGCGTGGACCTCTCGCTCTCTGGAAATCGCACGAGAAAGCGATTTATAAGCTCAAAGGAAGGTAAGAGGCCGAGGGCATGAGGACTCAAAGTAAAGTGATTATCGAAATGGTGTAAAAGAAAATCTACAAGGTTTTCCGACCGGCCGGGCTCCTGTCGTTGCCCGCTGCTCCTGCTATTATTATTGTTGTTGGTGGCTGAACCCTAGGCGGCTTCGAATGTATCTCGGCCCGGGGTTTTATTTCATGGCAATTGCCGTGAATGCAGAGTTGTAAATGTGCGCGTAGGGTGCAGTTAAAAGAGTTTGGAGAGTTGTCCTGCCCCAGTCTTCAGACGCTGCTTCATTCACACGCTCAACAAATTATTCGTTAGTTTAAGACGTAGGAGGCTTTCGCGGCCAATATCATTCATGATAGAGGTTTTTTTTTGTGGGGGTGGGGGGGATTAGATCGCGTAAATATATGTCGTTAAAACCCGCCACCATCCGACACAGCCAACTAGTAAGGGTTGTCACGTAAGTTAGTTGTCACAAGCTAGTTGTAATTACTGGCGAAACGTCGTACTCAGATTGTAAATGTTGTGGCTTGGCTGTCCAGCACACCGGTGTGTGCTGTACTGGTGACGAATTGGCCGCGTTCTGTTTACGTGACAACCCTTACTAGTTGTCCGTGTCGGGTGGTGGCGGGTTTTAACGACACAACATTTATATATTTACGCGATCTAACCAAACAACAAACCCTCTATTATGAAATTATTCGTTGCTATTATGATGATGAGTACAACTGCCCGTGGTATCGCTTCCCCGGCAGAGCTGCCAGCCGTTTAAGTGAAGATTATTCCAGCGTGACTCAGCTTTCGTACATTTAAGCACCTCCTTGAGTGATGTTTCGCGTGCATTCGATTCGAATTCGTGAGTGATTGCATGAAGGCTGTTGCGATTATACTTGAGCACGCTAATTCCCATGATGTCTCATCACGTAAGGTACATTTACCAAGGCAAGTGGTCTTCCTGGAGCAAAACATTCCCAGCCGCATATTATTAGCACGTGTGTTCCATAGGCCTCGGCGTATCACCGAATATAAACACACAACACGGACACAACGTTGAACAGAGAGGATAAGTCATCGTTATTTAACTTTTTGAAAGTTATTCAGAGGGTGGCGGGGAGGGGGAGGGGGCTAACCTGTGAGTACTGTACTCAGTGAGTTCCGCTCAATGCGCACTTGTGTCATCACGCGGTTCGTGATGAGAATCGACTCGCCCCGTGACACTGAAAGAGCAGCCTCCACGGGATTCGCATTGCGCTCTCCCTGGAAGTAATTTGTCTCATTAAATCCCTCCCCGTTCCACTTTGATATATTTATTTTTATGATTTAGTATTAACCCCCCCCCCCCCAAGTGTGTTTTTGTTCCGGTGGCGTGTATAGGACCTCTGTAGTAGGATGAATGGTTACGCATTGCACGTGTTATGTATACACGGAATAGATAGACGTGGCAGCTGTTAACCAACCATGCACAGGAAGCTTCTCTGTATATATTATAAGCGTATATAATGTAAGCACGATTGCTATAGTTTGCTTCATAGCCTTTATTATGAAAGTCATTCAAACCGTAATAAAAGTATGACGACTATTTTACATTACACAAGACAGTGGCCGAAGCGTCAACTCCACACAACGCATGCACATTTTAGTATAATCACAACAATTAACAGCCCCCTTTGTCAATTCCACTGCCGGATGAAGGCTTCGTCGTTCACGCCTTGCATTCACGGAGGGATTGTTGTTTGACCATACTTCACCACGCTGGTCAGGAGTGCAGGTTAGGCCCAGGACCCTGTTCGGATGTCGCCCGCCACCGCTCTAACCCTACACATATTTACACCGTGTTATGCATGTTGCACACGCGTCTAAGTATTTGATTAACGCAGGGAATACATGGTCGTGAAAGTGGATCGCATAATTACACGTGAGAAGCGAGTCTTCATATACCACATACATATTGGCCTAAATACGTTACGTACATCTAAGAATAATAAAACACGTGTTCATTGATATAATGGAAATTGAAACATACGAATTAATAGTATACAGTATGCACGAATGATAATTGTTTCACTTATTTATCATTTGCATATTTGGAATAGACAGAGAGGAGTCTTGTGTATTTTATTGCATAGTTAGTTCATAATAATCCCGGTGCAGATACTTCGGGAGTAATTGGGCAAAAGACGAATGACAAATGGGTGTTGTAGAAAAGGAAAACTAACATCGGGTTAGACATTAACTCGTCAGATAGTGCCTCGTTAAACGACGCTTCTGACCACCCACACAATACATGGTTAAACTTCACTAGCGTCATGAATACGAGCGCAATAGGTAATCACGAGTACCCTATAGGTGCTGTGATGATGGTAGAGTGGTTCAGCAGGAGTCTATAAACTGCCAATTGCCTGAGTTCGATTCACCGGCCACGGATAAAATCAGCTATGAATTGGTAACTGGAACTCATCCTGGAGAAAGGTGAAACCCTCTCCCCTTCCCCACGCCCCACTTTATACCCGAGCCTGACCAGCGTGGTGAAGTATGGTCAAATACCCCCCCCCACCCCGCCCGCCCCATGTGACTTGCACGGCGCGGAGGTCTTCATTGAGCAATAGATTCACAAAGGGGCCGCACATTAGCATCATCATCAGCACTTTATAAATTGTTGAGTGTTTTTGTTTTACATTGGCTGTCTATGATGTCTGTGCTGCACTCGATATTCTATATTAAGAGCAGCGAGAGAGAATAGAGGCGGGACCCGAGTGAGAATAGTTGGATGATAGGAGAAAACGTATTAAATGTTCTAGAAATGAAAAAAAAGCGAAACAGTCCGTTTTAATAATACGAATAAAAAAAATCTCACTGAGCTACGAAATTGTTTAACCGGAAGCTGCCTCTGCACACGGCCACAGTGACGACACGTGCTATCATTTTGACAGCACGTGTCGCTACGTCACAGCTGTTTGTCACAAAATGTCACGTGGGATATGCGAAACATTAAAGACACAGCCCCACAGGCCTGCGATATCTACTTTAGACATGCACACCACCTTCGTGAATCTACTGTTACGCCCCCGCCGCCCATCGCCGTGTGTGGGTCTCTGTGACCATACTTCACCACGCTGGTCGATACGGGTTGGTTGGTGAAGGCGCAGAGCATAGGCGCGAAAGCCTAAAAGTACTGCGCAACTGCACTACCACTACGTAGCCGCACACTCGACAGCACCCCGTGTGTGCGTGCTAGTCGTGGTGGTGGCCCATCGAAGCACAAACCAGGCGCAATCCCACTGGGCGTGCGATGTTTCGACAAAGATCTGGTGGCGCATCCCGGGCGATTTGACTCATAGGGCGATGCGGGTCTACGATTAGCGTCCGCGAGAACACGTGGCATTGCGAGAGTGAACTTACATCGAGGGCACTTCTCAATCAAGATCGCATCTTGTGTGAATATACGTCGCACTCCGTTGTCAATTTGACCGCAGTAACCACCGCGTTGTGTTACCCCCCCCCACGCCACCCTGATCGGCCGTGTTGTTATTCACTGCTGGATGAAGACCTCCCCACGTGGTCGCCCATCCATCACGGTGTGCTTGCGATGCCTGCGCGATCCATCTCGTTCCACCGCGAAGAGAGAGGCCCCGATCACGTCGATCACGACGATCCATCTCTCCACGGTGGCCGTCCTCTCGGACGTGGCCTCATCCTTTGATTGGTCTCCGTTTGCGCACGGCCCCGTCCAACCGGACCGTCGTCCATAGGAGCTGTGCTCGATGTGTCCGCCCTCTCTTTGGTCACACTTATTTTGTATCAAGTCAACAAGGTGCCCATTAATTATAGCCTAAAGCATTACGGCGGTGACGTAGCACCAGCGGTGGCGCGGTCGTCGATTGGTTTTGTTGTTGTTGTTGCTGCTGCAGAAGTTCGCGGTTCGACTCCGGCCGTCCGCCCTGGTTTACTCCTTGCATGTTGCGTTGACCCGCATTACCGCGAACGTTTAAGAGGCCGTTGTGTGTCCGGCGTCATGATCCTACATTTTTTGTTGCCACATTAAAAAAACTACCCAGCAATATTATTCCATTGGGATTACACGCGCGCACACAGCGAGTGTTGCCACTCCTTCTGTGAAACTCCTGGGCACTCGGTCTGAGACAGCAGAGCCTTTGCCTTCGCGATAGCCTTGCCCGACAGAATGACAGCGTGGAACACCAAATGTACTCGATACTTAATGTCACCATTCGCATTGTCGTGCACCGAATTCTACCACGAGGCTGTGACAACAATGAGACACGTAGGCGTACACATAGGACAACACATAGACAACGATCCCCCGTAGAATACCTGGACTGTTTGGGGCAAGAGCTGTTAGCGAGCACCTATTATGGCCGGCACGTCACACGAGGCGGTGGTTTCGATATCGCCACACCCGACCGCCTTTGTCTTCCCAGTGCTAATGTGTATTACACACCGCACCAGGTACTAATTTAAGGCTGTGTGGACCTAGGGGAGGCCCGGGATCGGTGCAGATATTTGTCGCCGATGTTGGCAGTGAGCGGAAATCGAACTCGGTTCAAAGCGCAGTGAGCAGACCGCTGCATTACCGCTCCCCACTTAGCATATTCGTGCATGACCATACACGTACAGCAAATACAAAGATCCCCCGTAAAGCCTTAACAGACTGTTGGGGCAAGTGCTGTGAGCGAACACCTATGAAGGTCGGCACGGTACACGAGGGGGTGGGTGGCCAACACCACGCCCGGCAGCCTTTGTCTCCCTCGTGCTGATACTCACACACGAGGCAATCATTTAATGCTGAGTCTACCTAGGGGAGGCCCACATACACTCATACACACATGCTGTTTACACGTGTGGGACGAACGACAACAACAAATGCCATACTTGTTACTGACAGATGGCAGCGGCTTGGAGGATGGGGAGGTGGGGGGGTGGAACTTAATCCAGCAGTGGACTGAGCATGCCTGGTCGCGAGTCAAGATTGCGGCCGACAATCTTGACTCGATTTTTCCGGCACTTCCGATTAGCACGGTTGGCCACGTACGGTGCGAAAGAAGTTCAACGTACATATTTGGCTGCTCGTATTTTTTTGGTTGCTGTCCATCGAACAAACATGGCGGTCACCGCATCGCGCGCTTTCAGATGCGCTCTTATGCGGCCGTCTGGAACGCTCTTCCTTCCGATATTAGGAAGCCACTGGAGCTGTACACTTTTAAATATGGATTGAAAAATAGTTTCTTTAGAACTGATTTTGTGTGTGTTAGTTTGTTGTCCTTCCCGCCGCACCTCTGATGACCACGGTTGGCTACGTACGGTACGAAAGAAGTTCAACATACATACGCGCTATCTACTACATTACTTATTTATCGATGAAATTATTAATGTTGTTGTTTGTTTTTATACACGAGGGAGAGAGAAGAGACTCGACCGTTCCGTTTCACACGGTAGCCTGGCAAGGGCGCGTGAAGTGAATGGGGTTAGTCGAGATGCGGTGACGTCATAACAGCAGCAGCAGCCCCTGTCGAGGAAGCGGCTATCAAAATAAATAAATAACACCCCCCGCCCCCCACACAACGGGTGACAGTGATTGAGCGATGTTAGTAAAATCCACGATTCTAGAAGTTGTGTCGATTCCGAGCAACGATTTAAATTTCAGAAACCGATTATTTCTGTTCGGCTATAAAGGACAGAGTGTGCTGTGAGTCGAAGTGCAGCGAGTGATCTGTGGTCGTACAGGGTGGCCCAAAAGTCAGGACACATTAGGGTTATTCTATTTCACGTAGGGTTATTGTTTGTTTTCAAAGTTCAATCTGACTTTTATTAACATTCATGCATTATGCATGAATTCTCTTTTTGAAATTAATTTAGGATTTTTTTTTGGAAGGTTACAGGCGTGACCCGCTCATACTGGACGGAGGTGAAAAAGAAGCTTCATAGTTCACCGGATTCCTCCAGTCTAAATAAAGATTCTGATTCCACTAAAGGTGTCAAGATTACGGGTGTAATCTTTGAACATTCATCAATTATGTTTCGTCTCACTTCGTTCTCGATTCTTCATGGTCGAGTTTTGTAAACGACGGGTTTGAGACGACCTCCACTGGGATAAGAAGAAAAATAAATAATAATAACAGATAAAATATCAACTTGAAAAATAAACGATTACATGTTCAAATAAATTAAATAACCCTATGTGTTATGACTTTTAGATCACACTGTACGCGTATACATAGCATCTGTAATGTTGCGAACATAACACTACCGATGTTATACGCAGTATATAGGTTACATTACGGGATGATGCTGTGGTATAACGGGTAGCGCACTAATGAATTGCAATCGAGATGTCTCTGGTTCAACTCGTGGCGCGGCAGCTGTAACAAAGAACGCCATCCACTTGCGCTCTTTGAAGGCCTCTCTCTCGAGATGATCCCTCCAGTGGAGACCCCTAGCGTCGTCAGTGACGTGGGCACGAAATTGCAGGGCTGCACCTTTCCGCGTGCGATCTATAAACACGTGTCAGACACAATAGATTCAAACAAAACACGACTCAATGCGCGTACTGCAAGCGCGTGAATCGGTTTCAATCAGCGAGCCGATTCAGTCCTCGGCTACGTGACTTCACCGTAGAGCAATCACTTTTTTTGACGCGTTAAAAGTTTACATTTGCTAACCCTTGTACAATTCTGCCTGATGAGGGATTCATCATCATCATTAAATTTTCGTGAGCCGTGGTCTATCCACTGCTGGATGAAGGGACAACCCTACCCCGTCGCCGAATCCGCCACCGTCCTGCGATGGCTCAATCAAATGACGCTCCTGCTCCCACGTACTCGTCTCATCGCTCCGTCTCCGCAGTGGTCGTCCTTCGCTGCGGACCTGCATATTGTTTTAGATCATTTGAGGAAGACGTGCAGGCGCGCGCACACGCGTGGGACACGATGAAAGGTAAACAGACTCCAACGGGCTCCTGTCCGCGCCGAAGGTGATGACAGCCGCTGTTTGAATCTTCTTCTTCTTCTTTCGTACGGCTGGATGTAGACGCAGAGGAACGACCACGATGTTCAAATGTAGGTGGTCAAGCCCAGACAATCGCGTCAGGAGCAGCGGAGTGTGTCGCTGTGACGTCTTCATACTTGTGGATCTGGAAGTGCGTCGTCGCAGGTTGTACGGTCTGTTCTGGATGACCGCAAGTCGCGTACCGGAGAGTTTTAAACGGTCCGTTCGTGCATCGAGGATACCGCATCTACTGCCGTGGTTTGTGCGGATGCGGTTTAGGGTGGACGATGAGCTTCGCGGAAGATCAAAACCCCAGGGATCTTCTGCGTTGCGTCTTTCACAAGGTGCATGTGTGCGTGAGTTATTTTGAACTCCATTCAGCTTTGCGTGATGGTGATGATAAATCATGTGCAGTGCCCACGTTTTGCCCTCGAACTGGCAAACCCGGAGAGGACGTGACAGATTTACACCTCGAGGAAACGGAAAAACCAGGGGGATCTTCTGCATTGGGTATTTGCATGACAAAACAATAAGATGCACTTTTTTAACCCTGTATCTTAAAGCAAACTTTGGCGGTGCGTTCTTACGTACCGGTGGGTGTTCACGTGAGCAGAATTGTAAAACGATATCGGGCACCCTGCAATAGCTTGCTGAAGGCTGGGTGCGCGTCTTACTTTCCGGAGCGTCTAGTAATTCGCAGGGAACTGTGCTCGTTGTGCGGAATACAACTAAGACGTGACCAGGATTGCGTCTCAGAATGTCCGTACCCTACTGAAATAAAGCCGCCCTACGTTCGTAAACATGTAATTTACGGGTCTAAATAAACTCCCCAGTGATGTTGAATACGTGCCCTGTGTTTATTCATGATTGTACATTAACTACCAAAAGTCCACACTTGCATTCAACAGCATACGCATATCATGTATATTACTGCAACTTGCAATCCGTTATCTATCCACTGCTAGATGACTTCCCCAATCCAACCTCCACCCTACCCTCCCCGTCCAATGGCAGTGTCGGTTGTTTGACCATACTTCACCACGCTGGTCAGTGCGGGTGTCGGTGAATGTTGCAAGTCGGAGGTTGGAACGGAGGGGCCCGGTACACTATACCCAAGCCCCGCGAGCCACGTGATAAGCCACCGCGTTGCGCTATTATTCGTGGCCAAGGCCCCTTCTCTGAAAAAAAGAGTCACATAGCTCAGTGGGCCTTACATCGTAAAATTAACAAAATACGTGTTTATGAAGTTGTTGAGCCAGCTGGGTCAGGATTGAGAACACAAAAACCCACCGGAGCCCATTCTTCACCCAGGCAAATGGAGACCACAGACCCAAGTGTCTCTATCGTAACATTCAGACTAACAATACCATATGTCAAGAATCACAGTTAAGAGACAAACAAATATAGATTTATTTTTTTATTTAAAGCTTTCGTGACTGCAGTAATTCATATTCTTAGCTCTTTCGGTAAAGTCACGTTGAAGGGAAACACCTGATGACGACCGTTTGTGTTATGGTCGAAACGTCGTGAGAATTTTTATTGTTTTATATATTTTTTATTGTTTCCCTTCAACGTGACTTTACCGAAAGAGCTAAGAATATAAAAATATAGATGTAGTATTAAAAACAATAATTAAGTTGACATGTTTCAAAACTTAAAAAAACAATTGGTCAGTGTGGATACGCCGCACCGAACGCTCGCAGCCGATGACTTCTCGTTAACAATGACCGGTCCTGGGCCGCCCCTAAGTAGACTCGGCCTCAAATTAGTACCTCGCGCGGTGCGTAGTAAACATCGCCGCCGGGGGAGACAAAGGCGGCCGGGCGTCGTTGTCGCCACCCAGCCCCCGTGCGTGCCGTGCCGGTCTTCAGAGGTGCTACTCGCGAGCAGCACTTCCCCCCCTACAGTCTGTTAGAGGCTATACGGGGATTATTTCTGGGTATTTTTTTTGTGTGTTGTTGCGGTCATGGTTGTGTTTATTTCAGGATGCGTGCATGACCCTTGCATTGAGCATTGGCGGGGAGGTGGGAAGGGGCTGCTTTTCCTGATAGCTAAAGATACGACGCCACTGACGTCCTGCCCACCATTGTACTGCCATGTGAATGAACACTTGGCCAATGCGGTCACCGTTCGTGGTCAACAACGACAATAACGACGACGACAACAACAACAATCGAATGACGTTTCCCAAGGCGTACACGTGTAACTGTGGCTCGAACAAGGAGCTATGCATTTTTCCGAGAATTTGTTTTTAGCAAAGTGCCCAAAACGACCCCGTCGTGGGCTGCCGGTCTCCCCATGCATACCAGGTGGTATAGGTGCGCTACATTTATCGACAGTAGAGGGCAGTAACGGCCACGCTCAGTGTTGTAATTCTAATATTCCCACGACTATGCCCCCCCAACGTCCCCCCGCGCGCCTATACCAACAACCCGCACTGACCAGCGTGGTGAAGTATGGTCAATTAACCACCACGTCCCCACACGCCGTTGGCGGGGTGGGGGGCTCTCTCACGTGCACCATGCGATAGCTGTCGAAAGGTTGTGATCGTTTTTTTAACGCTGAGCAGCCCCCTAGCATCAATGAACTTATCCTATGACAGGTCAAAGAGGTCATCACAAGCGACGGCCGTTGACGTCACCACACACCGCCATCGCTTCCTTCCGTCTGCTCGATGGCACGCGGTTGTGATAAGCGTGTCCGCATTGCCACGGAACTTGCCAAACAACGAAGTCGGCTCCACTATTTTTCACAGTTATATTTCTCATTGCTAAAAACAATAAAAAAAAAGATATCTTCCATAGCCACTGGCCTTTCATAGCGACGGCGCTGTAGCACGTAGTTAAAGTGTAATAGCAAAACAATATTTAAATTAATATAGCGTCTAAACACAATAAACGAGTTTATCTGTAGGTGTTTTTGTACATCTCACTATATTATAAGAACTGCTTGCTGTGTTTAGGTTGTTGACCTTCCTCCGCACCTTATATTAGCACGGTTGGCTACGTACGGTGCGAAAGAAGTTCAACATACATACAAGCATAACCCTGAACCGGATCAGTTTCAATATCGGACTCACCGTCTTCAAGAAGCTACCATGGACTCGCCCCAGCCTCCCTCACTCTACTCCCCTCCACGCACTCCCCTACCTCTCCCCTCTCATCTCACTCTACTCCTCTCCACACAATCTCCTACCTCTCCCCTCTCATCTCACTCTGCTCCCCTCCACTCACTCTCCTACCTCTCCCCTCTCATCTCACTCTACTCCCTTACACGCACTTCCTTACACCTCCCCACGGTCAGGCTTCGACATTGGCATCTAGCTACTGAACATATTGCTGACATACGCAATAAAAAATATACATAGAGATACATCGGGATACGTAGAGATGCATAGCGACCCATACAGACACACAGAGACCCAGACGTTGCCATTTAGCTCCTGAAAATATTGCTCCCATGCGCGAGATCAGAAGTGCATTGTCGAACCGATGCTCATGCAGGATGCTCACTTGTTGCGGCGTGGTATACTTACGAATAATCGCGCCCAGCGGCCTCGTGATCCCCCCTCACCAGGGTAGGAAGTGCCGGTACAGGGCTCCATCCCATCATCGCGGGGGGAGTGGAGGGGGGTCCAGGGATAATTTTAAAGGGGGCTGAGTTGAATTGTATATGTGTACTGTGTATGACTGTGTATTGTATATGGGGGGAGCGGTGGTGTAGCGGATAGCGCTACTCTGCACTACGAACCTGGCGACCCGAGTTTGATTCCCGCTCACGGCCAACACCAGTGCCCATTATCTGAACCGGTCCTGGGCCTCCCCTAGATCGACTCAGCCTCAAATGAGTACCTGGTTCGGTGTGTAAACATCGCCATGGGGGAGACAAAGGTGGCCGGCGTGGTGTTGGTCACCCACCGCTTCGTGTGCCGGTGCGGCGCCTTCATTAGCGCTCGCTGATAGCACTTGCCCCAAAAGTCTGTTAAGGCTATACGGGGGACATTTGTCTACGTTATATATTTTTTCAAAGCGGTCTGTTGTTGTTGTTGTTGTTCCCGTGTCACAGCGCCTCCCCGTGTGTATCGTGACCCCCAGCATTACACGAGGAGCGAAGCCACCGCTTGGCTAGACTCCAATGCCGATGATGCTGCATGGGTGGCGATGTTGCGTACTGCGCTGTTATTAAAACTATGATGATACACGAATAGCAGGAGCACGAAGAGAGCCGGACACAGTCGCCTGAGAAAGCACAACCGCATGAACGACCTGTGTGTGTGTCATATGTACTGTGTGTGTCATATATACTGTGTGTGTCATATGTACTGTGTGTGTCATATATACTGTGTGTGTCATATGTCGCGTGTGTAGTTATGTATGTCCCCACATCAACTCTGTGAGTGTGTGAATATGAGCGTGAATCTGACTGTATCCGTGTATGTATGGATATAGGGGAATGATGAACATGTGTCCGAGTGTGTGAATGTGAACGTGAGTGTGGATATTTGTCTGCATGGCTATCGGGGGGATATCTGTATGCGTGTGTGTGTGTGAATGAATGTGTGTGTGTGAATGTGGGCACGTGAACGTGAACGATTGCCGGGTCAGGCGCGCTGCGTATGCATGCACCATGTTAACAGTGAGTGTGAACGTTCATGTATGTGAGTGTATTAGTGTGTGTTCATGTCGTGCGTGATTTTTAGTGCGAGATATGTGTATGCGCTACCTGTTGATGTACTGCATACCATATTGACAGCGTGAGAGTGAATGTGTGCGTGTGAGAGTGTGCCAATGTAAGTGTATGAGTGTGTGTGTGTGTATATCTGTGTGTATGTATGTGTGGGGAGCGGTGGCGTGGCGGTTATCACGTTGCGCTACGAGCCAGCGGTGACCCGAGTCGATTCCCGCTCACGGCCAACACCGGTGACGATTATCTGAACCGGTCCTGGGCGTCCCCCTAGGTCGACAAAGCCTCAAATAAGTGATGTGTAAACATCACTCATCACTCATACCTGGTGCGGTGTGTAAACATCGCCACAAGGGAGACAAAGGCGGCCGGGCGTGGTGCTGGTCACCCATCGCCTGGTGTGCTGTGCCGGACTTCATAGGTGAATCGCGAACAGCACTTGCCCCAAAAGTCTGCAAAGGCTATAGGGGGGTGGGGGGGGGGGGTCTTTGTCTTTGCGAGAATGTGCCAATGAGAGAGTGTGAATGCAATGTGTAATTTTAAATGCGAGTGTGTGTATGCATGTATGTACTGCATGTACCGCGTGAACCGCGTGAGTGAGTGCATGAGTGCGTGAGTGAGTGGGTGGATGCTCTCCACTCGCCATACCGGGTACCATGACTCGATGCTTTTATAAGACGCCGCCTGTACCGTCACGTGGCCGCGTCTCGCAAATGGGGGCGAAGATCCCAGCTGCAGCATTGTCTGCTGAGATGTACAATGGAGCTATTGGGGTCAAACGGTGAGGGGACCGCGACTGAACTTCAATACAAAAACGCTCCGTCAGCCACGCGAGATCTCGTGGAAAGTTGAAAACTCGCGAGATCTCACAAGAACAAAACGAACCATCAATCTCCTCCTCCCTAACACAAGACTCGCTTTAGAATTCAAACAAATTATGGTTGGTGATGGCGCTGCCTTGGCAGTGGTGCACACGCACAAACAATAGCAAAACAAATTTACATTCGTCAATAAAATAAATATATCGTATTCGACGTTTCGGGCCATGACTCTTTCGTTATAGCACACTTTACAATTTTGATCATTTTATCTCAGTGGCGTAAAATAAAGCTGGGGTTTTCGATTGCGCGACCGATTAATTCACTCTCCCAATCACCGGCTCGATTATTCGAAAATAGTCGACGAACAATCTCATATCTTTTTGCGCCCACGTGTGTCGCTGGACGGGAGGTGATGGGCGGGCCTTTGTAACGTCATGGGGAGCATCGGACGCGTCACACTGGGTGTACCTAATCTTGATTCGAAGCTTTCGTGACTGCAGGAATCCACACTCTTTGGATCTTTCGGTAAAGTCACGTAGGTAGAAATAAAATAAAACAAATCACGACGTTTCGATCGCAACACAAGCAATCTTCATCAGGTGGAACAATCACAGCAAGAAAATGCTGAAGTAGGCATCGCCTATTTTCTTGCTGTGGGTTTTCCACCTGATGAAGATTGCTTGTGTTGCGATCGAAACGTCGTGATTTATTTTATTTTATTTCTACCTACGTGACTTTACCGAAATAACCAAAGAGTATCGGTGTACCTAGTAGGGGGTTTCCCGTCTTCGGGAGGCCCGATATTAATCGACCAGAAAAAAGTAGTCGATTATCATTTTTCATCTATCATTCGACTCCTCGCTCAGTTTGAACACTTTTTAAAATACGTTTTCACTTCCTTATAGCTAGGCAAATTTATGCGAATATTTATTCAACATAATCATTTTCATTTTGTGGGGATGAAGGAGGGCTGGTCAATACTGGTTTTTTTTGGTTTACCACGAAAAATCGTCGCTGAGTCTCAAAAAACGGAGTAGGAACCAGCAGTGGATAGATCATGGCTGACGAAGAGGGATGCGCGCGCGCGTAATTGCATTGTGAAATAAAACATCTTCAATGACGTTCGAGGCCAATAATCAATTCTACCACGTGACGAGAAACCCCCATCGCAACATCGAGAACGCACAAGTTGTGTTCCGTTCTTGATTTGAAGTTTTGTTCGGGAGCGCGTGTCTCCGTGTTGTTAGTGGGGAGCGGTAGCGTAGCGGTTAGCAGGGGGGGGGTCGGAAACCTGTGTCTCCGCGTGCGGCTCTTCAAGGAACCGCTCCGTGACAGTTCTTTGTTAAGGAAACGCCGTCTCGTATTCACCACCACAGTGTTTTGGGGCTCTTTAAATATTGAGGTCTTTTTTTAATTCTGTTTACAGAATTCGAAAAAAATGTGGCTCTTCTTATTTTGGTTGCCGACTCGTGGGTTAGCGCTTTGTGCTACGAACCCGGCGGTCCGAGTTCGATTCCCGCTCACGGCCACCAACACAAGTGACAACTTTACAGAACCGGTCCTGCCTGGGTCTCGCCTACTTCGACTCAGCCTCAAATGAGTTTACCTGGTGCGGCGTGTAAAGATCGCCACGAGGGAGACAAAGGCGGCTGGGCGTGCGTGGTGCTGCCCACCCAGCCTCCTCGTGTGCCGTGCCGGCCTTCATAGGTGCTCGCTAAACATCACTTGCCCCGACAGTCTGTTAAGGGGGATCTGTGTCTTTGTGTGGCTGGTTCGATTCCCCCGTGATCTCCACCGACACTACGACCTCCCGTCCGAATCTCAAAGAACAATTCCACGTCTCTGTAGAGACCTGAATAATATTGGTCGCGAAAGCCTACGTGTTAAACTATATATACACACACACACACGTATACTAATTAACAACTGCACGCAATGGGTAATCACTCTAATTTACATTTAAATTGAGGCTGTTGATGAACACGAGCAGACGAGTTTCTTTGAAGACAGGCAGAATGATGATGATGGCTGCTGCTGCTGCTGTTGCTGCTACTGTTAGACTTATAACTGCTGCTACTGCTGTTGCTGCTCCTGTTAGGCTTATAGCTGACGCTGCTGCTGTTGCTGATAGATACCGTTGCCAATACTGCTGCTACAGATAATACTGCTGCTATATAGGCAATCTATTGCTGTTGTTACTGCTGCTACTGATGATGATACACGTAACTACTAGAGCTACAGGTGCTGTCAATGCTGATGACGATGATGATGCTATCAATGCTGCTGCTGATATTAGTGATGCTGCTGCAACTGCTAATGATGCTGCTGTTGTTGCTACTGCTGATGCTTTTGCTGTTCAGAATATTTATTCATACTTGAGGAATACGATGAGCTATAAAGCTCTTTTTCACAGATTGTCCAGCAGGGGCGGGTCACAACGCTGTAACAACAAACAATACACAGACACGACAGGAGTGCAAAGGATAGGAAAGGCGAACAAATCACTTAAAAACAAATATACAGGGTGCTTAAAAATGCTAACACTCATATGAGACGATCGTTTTAATGGTAAATGAACGGATAACACACTGTAACCTGATGACAAATGTAATGTTAACAGCTTTAAAAAGTCAAAAAAAGTCTCCACTTGTTCGCCATCGTTGTCACCGGGTGCCTGGAATCTTCTCCAGGTGATCTCCACAGCCCGGCGGCGGCACATTTATCGTGGTGTTGCAAATTCTCAGAAGTGTTAACATTTTTTTTAAGCACCCTGTCAAAATAAAACGAAACTACTGATGCTGCTGATGAAGACGTTAGCCGCTGCCGGTGCCGCCGCCGCTGCTGCCGCTGCTGCTGCTGATTATGAATAGAACCATTAATAACGTTGCTGCTGTTGCCTGTAGCAGCTGTCCGGCCTAAGCACAACAGCGTCGTCACGAGGCCGCGCCGCTGTTGTGACAGCGGCTGTCGTCGTCACGAGCTGCTGGGGGGAGGCGCGCCAAGCGTCGAGGGGTCGCGCTTTGGCGGGCGGGTGACGAGGAATTCCCGATCACAAAACACGTGGCGGTTTTTCGGTTGGCCGCCGAGTGAGGAGGGGAGGTTTATTGGCCATTCAAAGGGTCCGCGTGAGAAGAAGAAGAAGAGGAGCCCGGAGACTGAGTGACGCCTTCTTGCGTGGGTAAACGAGCAGAATCATCGTGATTAAAAACACGTAACATGATCTACATTTGGGATGCTGCCGCGGTGTAAGAGTTGTTATTATTATTATTAAAAACGAACGTGTGACT